GTGTGATTTACATGAGGCATGTCTCTGTCAAAATTGAAGGAATGGAAGACATAAATTATGAAATGTACACTTAAGATAAGAGTTTTACATAAATAAAGAATGGGTTAAGATTGCTTTGGTTTTAAAATAAAGCTGTTTAGTTTAGTAAGAATTTTTTCTATGAAAAGTTTGTTTTGGAACTTTGTGTTTGATAGAGGATATTTTGCAAAATTTCTCAATATGAAAATCAATTCGTTTTATAATAGTGATCGAAAAAATATATATAAAACAAAATTATGAGATTTGTCAGGGAGGACTAATGGACTATAATTAAGGAATCGATTCCCTCAAATTTGACATTTTGTTATTTGTACATCATCATAATAGAAAAATATATGTTTTGCTATATACATTACATATCTAGATTGTATCTCTCATGGAATATTATACACTATGAATAATATGGGAGTTGTATATGCAACTGTTGTTTAACGTGAACGATGCTCTGAAGTTCAAAGAGGTTAAAATTTCGAGCTCATATTGACAACTCAACTGGAAACGTTCTTTACTTGATGTGTTTGATCCGGAGAAAGTTTGTTTGACTTGTTGTTTTTCGCAATAGAATCTCAATGTTTACAACGTAATTGTTTCTTGTATGCTCTAAGGTAAATTTTTTTGAACATGTTTTCAAATGGACTGCTTGATCAGATGGATGTTATATTGTTATGAGTGCTAAACAAATATTCAATCAAGGACGAAATTACCACACCCAATTAATGTAAAATTGTTACTCATTGAATGATTAACACACCTTTAGATGGATGTTAGGACTTATTAGGAGGATGCAATAAGTGTTATAAACTCGAATGTGAAATCTGTAATATTTTTTCAGTATTGATAGCCTTATCTGATGTTTTATGGTACTGTTTTAGTAGCCTAGTAGCGTGAGAGCTTAACATCTGTATGGCATATAAAATGTAGTAACTTTTTCTGTTTGATGGACTTGAGTTCACCCAAATTAACTCTTATGGGCCACTACTGGGCCATCCCACTGTGAAAGCCAATATTTTTAAAGAGTTGTATTTACAAATTTGCTACTTTTGGTCCTTTTTGATATATTTCATCACTTAGTACATTCAAATCAAACGCAAATTACGTTAATAATCTCTTCATAAAAATATGTTGTGTAAAATATTACTGAAATTAATTAGTTAGATAATCACATTCGACGGAAAAGAAAAACGAAGATAATCACATTTTAGAATTAGAAGCGAAACATATATATTGCTCTAACTAAAAATACACTTTAAAAGAAAAAAAGGAAAAGAAAAAAAAAAGAGAGCGAAATATTTCGCCGTGTAACTACTTTCGCATCATCACAATCGATCTTATTCTTCTCAAACGCTTTGAATCTGTTTAGATCCAAAGCTTCTCCACTGCAATTCTCTGAGATCTTATTTTCACCGGCGACGAGCTCTTATCGGAGAACGATGAAGCAGCTTCACAAGCAAATGAGCTCGAAGCGTGACGATGAAACCATTCCCATGAGCCAATCCAGTCCTTACTCTCCCAAGACCTTAAAGCATCCTAGATCTCTTCCCAGATCGCTTCACTACCTCTTCCGTGAACAGCGTCTCCTCTTCATCCTCGTCGGGATCTTGATCGGATCCACTTTCTTCATCCTCCAGCCTTCTCTTTCTCGTTTGGGCGCCGCTGAGTCCACCTCTCTAATCACCAGATCTGTTTCGTACGCTGTCAGCGATTCCCCGCCTTCCAGGGCGACATTTAACTACGGAGGCGGTGGAGGTCGAACCGGTCGTGTTCCCGTCGGTATCGGACGGAAGAGACTGAGGATCGTTGTCACCGGTGGAGCTGGATTTGTCGGTAGCCATCTCGTTGATAAGCTTATCGGGAGGGGAGATGAAGTTATCGTGATTGATAACTTCTTCACTGGTAGGAAGGAGAATTTGGTTCATCTATTCTCGAATCCCAGGTTTGAGCTTATTCGACACGATGTCGTTGAGCCAATCCTCCTTGAGGTGGATCAGATTTACCATTTGGCTTGCCCAGCTTCACCTGTTCATTACAAGTATAACCCAGTGAAGACTATCATATCCTTTTGATTACTTTTATATTCTGCATCCTTTTGCTGCTGCCAGTTCTGATTTCAATTTCACAGTTCGACGTAGGAAACATTAGCTTTCTGAATTCTGATCATCATTATAAGCAATTAGATTATCTTACAGTTATTGTGATGCTTGGTGACGAAATGCTTCTATTGGCAATGTGTGTTTCTCTGTGGTGACTGGTGATATGAAGATATTGGCAGATCCTTAACTATAGTTTCACAAGACAAATGTAATGGGCACTCTCAATATGTTGGGTCTGGCAAAGAGAGTTGGAGCAAGGTTTTTGCTCACCAGCACAAGTGAAGTCTATGGAGATCCCCTTGAGCATCCACAGAAAGAGACTTATTGGGGAAACGTGAATCCAATCGGTGAGCTGGAAAATTCTGTACTAGCTCCTGAGTTCATGAGATATATAAGCGAGAGGTTGATCACTAATTGCTTATATTTTTTTTTAAGGTGAGAGGAGTTGCTATGATGAAGGAAAGCGTACTGCAGAAACCCTGGCCATGGATTATCACCGAGGGGCAGGTGTTGAGGTAAATTCTTATAATTATCCCATGGATTTGTATATTGCAAGCTCTTAGCTCACTTGATGGAGAACTTATCTAATTTGCAACTCACAGTCATTCACAAATGGAATTTGGTACCCATTAGTTTCCAAACTATCTCCCTGCTGTTTATCAAGATATGTTTACATTTAATGATGTTGTTTCTTCTTTTTGTTTAAATGTTGGAATGTTTAGAACTGATGAATGAATATTGATGACTATTTGTCCCAATCACGTGTATATGAGTGGTTTCTATTAACTTGTGCAATTTTCAGGTTAGAATTGCTCGTATTTTCAACACATATGGACCCAGAATGTGCCTTGATGATGGGCGTGTTGTTAGTAACTTTGTTGCCCAGGTTTAGCTCTTTCATCATTACACAAGTGTTACTCTTTTCCTATGAAGCCTTTTTATAATAGTCTCAAGGAACTATGTTTTATATCTGTACAGACCATCCGCAAACATCCAATGACTGTTTATGGCGATGGAAAACAAACTCGAAGCTTTCAGTATGTTTCTGACTTGGTATGTAACAACCTCTGTTTCAATCCATTCTGCTGTATGATTGACTTTCCAAGCAGTGAAAAAGATCTATTGCCTCTTATTTAACTAAGATCTCTCTTTATAGGTGGAGGGACTTGTAGCCTTAATGGAAAACGATCACGTAGGACCCTTCAATCTGGGTAACCCAGGAGAATTCACAATGCTCGAGCTTGCAGAGGTTTGCATTACTTTTGCTATCTTCTTTTTCTTCCCTGCAAAAAGAGAGATGAAAATCAAATGGGAAAATTTAGGCCTGGTCATTTAACTTTCGATTTGGTTAGGTTCGGATTTATTTCCATCCTTAGAAAACTGTATCAATATTTTGAGATGTTCTTACAGAGTAACTCAGTTTGAATTAAGATCTTACCATCATATTTAATAAGAACCGCTCAGTTCTGTGTATGAAATGTGAAATTTGTGTTGCAGGTGGTTAAGGAGGTGATCGACCCAAGCGCGACCATAGAGTTCAAACCGAACACAGCAGACGATCCCCACAAGAGGAAACCAGACATAAGCAAAGCAAAGGAATTGTTGAACTGGGAACCAAAGATCTCTCTGAGAGATGGTCTGCCTCGCATGGTCAGTGACTTCCGTAACCGAATCCTGAACGAAGACGAAGGCAAAGGTCTTTAAGTGACGCAGAGTTTCTTCTTCTGCAGTGATTTGATATATGTATAGTCTCTTTTACAAGAGCTTTGCTAAAGTCTTTTTTGTTTACTCCGTTTTTTTACTTCTTTCTCCAAAACACAGAATTTACTACTTACTAGCTAATATCTTTTTTTATTTTTTTTGTCTTAAAAACGAATTTTGGTATTGGGCCAATCACCAGTGGGCTCAATTTTAGTGGAAGGTATTTGATATATATTTCTCTCGGTCCATACACGGATTAGCCTTTCTACTATATTTAACGTATAGTCTCTCTCGGTTTATACAAAACTTAGCTTTTGGGGAGAGTGTAAAAATACAACCACGGATGGACCCTTATCTTACAAACGACGTCCGATGGACCTTTGTTGTTCTAAATACTATGTCTCAGCTGTTTGTTTGCGTTTGTATCTATCGGTAGATTTGTTTCAAAATGTTTCCAAAAGTTTGGTAGCATCTTAAACGAAAAGAAGAGCTTTCTAAACCTATGCTTGTCGTTTGCATTTTCAACTTTCAAAAATATGTACCGTATAAATAAGGCATTGAATAGATTTTTGAATGAATCGAGGCATTTATGCAAATGGCAGCTGAAAAATTAGTTGTGGGCAAGTCTGTCTATCTCCGCTTCGGGTTTTGTTGGATAGAGAGCGATTCAGTCTGTTCGAGAAGTTGAGATTTAAGGAATTACCAATCTCTTTTTCTACTATATATATATATATATTCATTCTCACTTCTTCTACTACGTACATTGGTTAAGGAAAAAAACGTGTAACTAAAGTCTTTCCCTTTTACCCTTTCTAATAAATCTACTTTCTGAAACAGAAACTGATCGGTCGAATTCAATACGCAACATTTGAGTATATATATCCAAGAGAATAAAATGTAACGTAGTACATTAATATCCAACAGTGACATCTCAACTTCTCTAATACGTTTTTATGTGGACAATACAAAGAGCGTTTCTTTTCTACTCAACTCTCTGTTACTCTGACCTTACCACAACACTAACACACTCATGTGACACACTGACGCATTTTATCTAATTACACGTAATATATATATATATATATATGTGATAATGTAACGTATATATATGTTTATATATATATATGTGTGTGACTCTCTCTGTTTGTATATATTAATGAGCTTTTGGTTTTTTGCCATAATAACATGAAAGCCAATATGTTTCACTGTGCATCGCAAGCATCCACGGCTACAAACGACGAACGAACCATCGTCGTGGCTCGAGCTATCGACCGTCATAACCCAATAATCAAAGATGGTAGGAGATCTTTCACGGCACCGTGTTCCTCCGGGGACGACTACGTTGCTCCGTACCGTCAGCTTTCCAAAGTTACGAGGATACCCTCCTCCTCCTCCTCCGGGGACGGGAAGAGTGTTCAGGTGGATAAAGGAAGGAGGAGCAACTCAGGGTCGTTGTTGAACGTTAGCCTAGCGAGGAAGAGTTTTGGCTGTGTTTCTGCTCAGACACCCAAAACTCCTCCCGGTTCTACTAGGTATCTTCTAGGATCCGACCCGGTATCTCTAGCCGGATCTACGGGTCAGGATACGGTTGTGACGGAGGAGGGTGAAGCTTCAGCAGGGGCAAAAAGAGGCTCTTCTGGTACTGTAGAAGAGAAGAAGAAGTCTTCTTCTGGCTCAGGTTCAGACCAGGTAAAATAAAGCTGTCGTTATACCGTACATGAGTGGCATGAATGTAAATAAAGACGAGATTGGAGGGGTGATTTGGGTTATGTATTTGTTGGGACTGCAGGTGGTTGTTCTTAGAGTGTCTCTCCACTGTCACTGCAGAGGCTGTCAAGGCAAAGTGAAGAAACATCTATCCAGAATGCAAGGTGACTCCTCTGTTTTCACTGTACTTATTCCTATTCTTACAGTGTATCATATTTTTACTTTAGCCTAGTAGTAATCATTGTCTTATTAATTATTATTATACTCTAGGAGATCAAAATTACCAAACTATAAGCAAGTATTACTCGTATAGATAAGATAAATTGTCACTGTCCAAATGGTACACGTGTATCTTATATGATTATTTTTTTTTTGTAAAATTATTCATTTATATTCAAAATATCATATGATAGAATTTATTATATTTGTGAAAGTTTCTATAAAATATTGTGAGAAAATAATAATTTATTTACATTATCCTGAAGATTTTATGTATGATGGTGAATTAATGAAATATAAAAGGGGATATTTTGGATCTGATCAGTGAATGTTTTGATTTAGCTCTAGCTTGAAATAGCAAATTTGATTATTTTAGAACCAGTTTGTTAATGATTGTAAATGGGTTTAATGAAAGCTCATTAATCATTATAATGGTTTTTCGGCAACAAATAGGTGTGACATCCTTCAGCATAGATTTTTCATCAAAGAAGGTAACTGTGACTGGAGACATCACTCCCTTGGAAGTATTGGGTTGCCTCTCAAAGGTCAAAAATGCCCAATTCTGGACTCCACCTCAACAACCATCACTCCCAACCGCAAATCCGGAAATCTAAAAAGAACATGTTTTTTGTTTGTGTATTTGTTTTACTGTCTTCCTCTCAGTTGTTTGAATCAGATCAATGCTAAAATGTTGAGACTTTCCTACTTTTATGATGAAACTGTCATTACATTACAGGGACACATGCTTCTTTATGATGAAAATTGTCATTACATATTGCATTATCCTTTTTTTTTTTTTTTTGGTCTTTTTTACTTAAAACTATGTAATAGAGACATTATTTAACTTCTAGAAGATTGCACCTACCACAAGCTCTGTTATGAGTTCATCTGTCAGCATTTCCTCAATCTCTCTACCTATTATTTCAATGTCATCTTCTAAGCTTAGCCACTGCAACTCCTTCTCCACCACGTCATCTTTGCTTGCTTTCTCGTCTTTTCTTGTGACTAAATCCCGCAGAGTCTCTTGTATTCTGTTTGTATCCCATTTTCGGAAGACCCTTGTGGATTTAACCCAAGGGTGTGGATCCAAAAACTGCTTTAGTATCTGCATAAGCTCTCTGCTGATCTGGTCGAAAAGGAGCTTCCTTTCTAACCGGGTTGATGTATTCACGCTAGAGTACTTCTTCTCAAGATCCTGGAACACGGATGGATCGACAGGTGTTGCCATGATATTGCTCTGGTCTAACTCACTGAACCTGGAGTTAGCTAGGAGATCAACTAAGTATAATGACTTCCAGTCTTCTTCTCCGAGCTCATGGGTGATCATAGTCTCATCAGTTATTGTGGATGACTCATCTTGATCCGTGTCTCCATCACTCGAAACTAGCATGCCACCTTCATTGTAACTAGCTGACTCTAGTTTGAGGAGCTGGAGTTGCATCCTGAGTCCTGGAACATAGGGATAACAGTTAACGCGTCAAAACAATTTGTAGTTACCCCACAGATCTTTGATCTACCCAAAGCAATGAGTTAGAGACCAGCATCAAGTGTCAATTGATGGTTATAGTTGCACCATAAACAATTTTAATGATACAAAAATATTATAAAATACGAAAGATTCAATGAACTAGAAAGTACTGATTGACTTACCTTGGAGATCGGCACTAACACTCTCAAAGCATTCGGAACTTGATGAAACATCATCGTCAAAGGAAGCTTCTAGAACTGAAACTGGACTTGGTTGTTCACCTTCCTTTGAGCTTTCACGAGACTGTGGTTCAGGAACTGAAGATTGATTCACATCCTCAGTTGTCCTCCTTGAGATATCCTACAACATTAGTAAACAGTAAGATATCCGTCACTAGAACAACCTGTATATTCTAGTTTAAGGATTGAATATGTAAACTGTTGCTCTAGTGCACAGACTCATAATCTTGAAATATCATGCTCACTTACAGGGTCAGTTACCGGGGTGACAGTTGACAAATCTAGAGCTTCAGAAGACATTGCTGTCTTGGTATCATCAGAAGCTGAACTATCCTCAGTGTCTGAATTTGCATCTACTGAGGAACTACTACGTGCTTTAAAAGGAGAGAGCTTCTCTGTTGAAACCCTTTCGTTCATATTAAAAACTTTGCTGAAACTTGGGCTGATGTTGACCTCTGGTGAACTATTGTATGATGAGTGAGATTTGTTACTTCCAGGTCTAGATTTGCATGACAAGAAAGACTCCCCATGATGAGAAGAATTCCCCTTCACTAATCCATCTCGATTGATCAACCTCTTAGGCAACACTATAGTGTAACCACTAGTGCTTTCCTGGTTCATGATGGTTTTGGATTTTGAAAAACTTCTTGAGCAGGATCCTTTCCAACCATCCCTACTGCTGATTCCAACCGGTTCTGGTGATTCAGACCACTGACTGTTGTTCTCAAATCTTTTACTAATCCCATCTTCGAAACTGAGTCCACTAAAACTTGCTGGCCTTGCCTCCCTATCTGAAGTTGCAAGCATTTCAGCTAATGTGCCGCTTCTACTAATTTCTATCTCGTGTTCAAGCTTGTGTGTCAGCTTCCATCTCTCTGACAGTCTTCTCTTGGCTTCCCTACTCACAGATGATGTTGTTGATTTGGAAGGCAAAGATCGATGGTAGTTCCTACGGTTAAAGGCGGTTCTTTTTCCTGAAGTTACTGGCACTAACTCTGATTCACTTGCGGAGTCACTCCCTGATGAGCTTTCATCGCCTGCATATCCTCTAAATCCTGAAGTCTCAAAACTCATGGCATTACCATTACCACAGCCCACCTTCCTTTGCCTAGACATTATTTTGGCCATTTCTCCAGAATCTCTTGAATTCTGTCTTGAAAGCCGGACATCTTCATTACTTTTCTGCCTGCCATGATTGGTGGTGCATGGGAGCCTACGATCTGCTCTAAACTCATCGGAAGAAGAGCTTGGCGATGCAAAAGTTCTACCAACATAACGTGGCTCCCCGAGGTTAGGTTTCAGAACAACAATCTTGGTTGGCTGCAACTCACTTCTCTTTCCCAGCTCCTCGGTTGAAAAGTCAATCGTGTCATAAGAAACATGCCTGGTATGAGAACGGCTACCACAGCTACCACCACCAGCACCATGTCGATGAGGCGAACGATGACTCTTCCTCAGCAAGTCCCTATCATCTTTCTGAGTTTTCAGACTCTCCACATACCTCTGGCTGTTTGGCGACTTCAAGGATGGTGCTTGGCTGTACTGTGGCTTGTGAGGTATGGTTTGAAGATCCTGCAGATGCTTTGTGAATAGAGAATCAGGGTGCTGAAGAAACTTGAGTAAGAGGTCCTTGTTAGAATCTAGAGCCTCAAGCGCATCATTAAACTCTTTAGAATGACGAAGTTTATCATCTGTTGATAGCCGCTTAGCCTCCATGAACTTCTGCCGTATGAATGCCATCTCAGCCTGGGTTAGATTAGCATTCACCCTCCCCTGATGATATAAGCTTCTATTCTTGCTCTCTGCCATCTTTGCATCCAAAACTTCGAAAACATCTTTAAACTTTTGCTCACCCTTTGAGCTCCTTCTAAGAGATTTATTATAAGGATCATGAGAACTGCCTCCACCACTCCTGCCTTGCAGATTCTCCATAGACTTTTGCTGCCTGTATGAAGAACTCTGAGCAGGCAAAACATCGAGACCCATCAATCTGGCAATAATGCTTGGTGATCTCTTTTTAGATTCTTTTTGCTTAGACATTTCTTGTGCCAACAAACTTTTCATGGGCACTCCGGTAGCAAAATCTTGCTGCAACAGCAATATGAGCAACAAGTCACTTTCAAACAACAACTGGAAACCAAACATTTCCTCTCGGATATATAATATTAGAAGAGTAAAACATACCTTGTTTTCACTCAAAGCTTCACAGAGACAAGAGTTGAATTCAGAAGAAGAAGAAGACCTTGGAGATTTGAGTTTCTGACTCTGTTTCTTCTTTCCTGAAAAAATGAAAGACTTTCTAGGATTCTCAATATGATAAAGCAATAGACTTTACAACGGAAGAAACTTTAATTATTAAAAAAATTAGAAACTTGGGAGACAAAAAGAGTGATTTATAGCACAAAAAGTGTGGGGAGAAAGAAGAAGAAGAAGATAGAAAAACAATCAAACGTAAACATAATAATAAATCAAGGAGGTTAAGGAAAAAAAAAAAAGCAATCATAACATGTAAATAAAAATCATTAACTATGTTGAAAATGTTATTTAACAAACAAACCAAATCATGACACTAGCCAACAAACACACTGCCCTGAGATTATTTATTTTTTCATTCTTCTTTACTTTATCATAAGAAAAAAAAAAAAAAGAAAAAAAGTAGCAGCAATCTCATCACCTTCATTTCTCTACTACCCACCGCTTTAACTGTAGTTTTCCACAGAAACAAATTAACATGTCTGTCTTTGTTTTTTTATAATTTAGAAGTAGGAGTAACGAATTAGGGCAAGTGATGAGCTCCACTACGAGATTCTCGAAACAACCCGAACAAGGAAACAACTATTATGAGTAAATGCTATGTTTTTGGTTTTACTCAGAACATGAAAAAAAAAAATCTCAGAAGCTTGACACTTAAAAAAGAAATATTTCTAAAATTGAAGAACCCCAGAAAAAGAAAACATTTTTTTTTGTGTTGAATCACTGAGCATTTTATGGAGACAAATTCGAAAATCAAATCAGCGTTTTTTGTTATGTTTTTGGTTATGGCTGTCATTTATTTGTCTAGTAAAACCAAAACAGAAACGGAAACAAAAAAAAGGGGGGGAAACGGAAGGAAAAGAGTAGAGTAGGAGTAGTAATAAACCTTGAGGAGAAGAAGGTAATGGATCTGGAGAAGTAAGGTCGGCGAGTCGAAATCTGTTCATAATTATTAGAACGAAGAGTCAGTCGAAATCGGAAGAAAAGGTCTCCGGGGAAAACATGTTGAGAGGGAGCTAGATCCGGGGGGGGGGGGGGGGATGTTACTAGTATGAGAGCCAGAAATGCAGACTAGGATTCTCTCTCTGAGATTTTACTTTAGACAGGGAGATCTCTAATCTCTAAAGACAAGAAGAAATTGGGAGAGAGAGAGAGAGAGGAGGAGGAGGAAGACGACGACGGAGAAAAGAGCAAGCAAGGAAGAAAGGAGAGGTTTCAGTGTTTTATTTGAAAGTTCAAAATTTCCAACCAGGAAAATAAAATAAAATAAATAGATAAATATACCCAATACTCTTTTATTTATATTTTAGTATTTTTTAAAGAGAGAGAGAGAGAGAGTGTAAAAATGAGAAATGAGAAATGAGAAAGGGGTTTTGCTGCGTTCGTTCGGTACTATTATTTACTTTTTTTTTTTTTTGTTACTTAGAGAGATGAGAAGAGATGAGTGTTTGAGAGAGAGAGTTGCTCTTTGTGCATCCGTGAATTGCTGCCACTTGTCTCTCCTCCTCTTACCCCCCCCCATTTCGCGTTTTCTTTTCTTTCTTTCCTTCTTTTGTCGTACCTTCCTTCTTCGCTTTTTTTTTTTTTTAAATATTTTATTTAAAATCAACATATCCTTTTTTTTTTTTTGGTTTTAATGTGAAGAAATCAACATATCCTTACTACGGTATATGGATTTTTTCCTTTGGTCCAAAATTTATGAAATTTGCAAGTGAGATTTTTTTTTCCTCATTTGCAAGTGAAATTTTAACTTGTTTTTGTTTTTTTTTTTTTTTTTACCCTTTAGATAAGATTTATAACTTTCAAATTTATCATGTATTATAGTAAATATCTCATCAGTTGATAATATGATATCGATTCTCCTAATTATCTTCAACCGAGAAATACCTTTGTCTAATAAGTCTTCCTTCATAAGATTAGGTTAGGCACACTTGAATTCTTTTATTCAACAGTAACAATAACACACACAAGTATACTCATGGAAAACAAATTCAAATTGTATTAACAGTCACAAAATAGTAGTAATGTATAACCTTCCTTTTAAAAATCCCTATATTAAAAGGATTAGTTCACGTGAGCTCTCTCCAAATATGAATGACTCACCACCTATTATTAATTACTCACTAGAAGTTCCTATTGCCTTGGCTTTCAATATTAGTTTTAGCTGACATATGCATTGCTCAATTTCAATTTACAACACAAGTTTTAATAATCTCGCTATTATAATATACTCTATGAAACATTTCTCCATTACAAAACCTTCAACTCACTTCCCCATTTAAATCTTCGCTTTTCCTCGGTTTAAATGTAATTATTATTATACTGTACTCTACTTGTATTTTGGTGTTTCTTCTTATGCTTTTAAAATGCATATTATGTTTTTTTTTTTACTTATTTACTACTGTATGTATATATATACCCGCATTAGTTGCATTCTACTAATGCCTCTCTATCATGCATTGTTGACCATATACTCTTTCTATTCAATCTCACTAACTTAGAGACGAACATAAATATAATATATATATATATATATTTTGTTATGTAACTATGTAAAAAAAAAAGTATTTACATATATATATATATATATCAATTCGCCGCAACAAGAAAAAAAGTTCAAATTTAAGAGATATCCAACAAAAAAAGGAAATTCGAACGGAAAAGTACAAAAATAAAAAAGCAAAATAAATCTTTTAGCTTTGAATTTTTTTTTTCATGTCTCCCCTTGATTTATGGGTTTTTTTTTGTTCTAGACGTTGATGTCCGTTGATGATAGATTCACCTATATGCCTACGCACATATCATTACTTTACGATTGTGATTTTTGCAATCAGTGAAACAAAAAAAAACTAACGATATGATTGATTTTCGAAATAAATTCTCAATTAAATAATAATAATAATAAATGAAAAATCTCTACGGACAAATTACTAAAACGTTTTCCAACTCTATAAAGCACCACTACATATATATATATATATATATATATATGTCAAAAATAAAATAAAGCACCACTATACTGAATTTGGAATGTTTCCAAAACTAAATGTCTACATCTACAAAGAACTTAGGGGGGTGTATTCAAAGTGACATTTCAAGTGATTTGTAAAAAGTTTACAAATCCACTGTTATTCAAACATGAATTTTAAAAAGTCTCATGAAATCCACTGTTATTCAACTAATGATTTCAAAATCCACATTAAAATCCACTGTTATTGAAAACAATTTGTGGATTTGGCTTTTAATGATTTTGAAGGATTTCAGAGGATTTGGGAGGATTTCCTTAGTTAAAAATACAGAAATCCAAATCCCATAGTTTTTGGTGAGATTTGAAAGGATTTTACAAAAGTCATATGAACTTCCCTAAAATCATCAAAATCATTTAAAACCCCAATAAAACTCAAATCTCTTAAATTTCCATTTTGAATACACCCCTCTTAAGGATCATGTTCACAAATTTTGTGAAGAAATTATATTATCTTCTATGTTAATTAAAACAAAATAAAAGGGTATTCTAATTTGTGCGTCTAGGATTCGATATTGGTAGAGAGAACAAAATTCTACGATTAGAAGAAGCTTACATCTGATTAATATTAAATGAACTTATCGAAATTTGTATTAAGGAAAACGTTGTTTAATTTGACAAAAACCAATGTTTGGAGTTTAAGTACAGCTGCATGGACAAAGCTAAGATTCGTGTTCGTAACTAGTACTATAAGACCATGATTATCGGCTGACTCTTAGATGTTTCTTAGGTATTATTTGGATTTAAATTAAATGATTAATTATGTAAATTGGTAAAAACCGTTTCTTGCTTAAGAGCCAATCTTAAGGCTAACATATGACACATGTCTTATTTTTATTGGGCGAAGAAAGAAAAAACAAAAAAGATAAAAAACAAAATAATTGCTTTCAGATAATATAACTAGATTTTGATCCGAGTACAATGCGGTATAAATATTTTCTTTGTAATTCATGTTTTTAAAATTTTATAAATTTTGTTGGAGTTTATTTAATAATTATCAAAATTGTATGATATAAATTTTACTAAATTCGTTTAATTATACATGTTTTATGTTGGTGTTGTTAAAAAAATAGTAAAATGACATGTATTGAATTGTGAGACTAATAATAGAGATTACAATTTTTTAGTAATATCAACTCAAACTTGTTCTTTCTTACAACTTGTCCCGTCATATAATTTATTGGAAGCATATTACAATGTCTTATACCTCATCATGTTATATGATCGCTAAAAAAAAAATCCATATTAAAAAATGGCAAAATCAATAATATTTTAGTATAAACTTGGTGTAAAACTAAAATATTAATAACACTTAAACTTTTAAAAAGTTCAAAATATATTAAATATTTTTCAGAATAAGGATTTGGTCGAGGATATATGGACAAAAATTTTCAGAAATCAAGTTTAAAATTATTGTGGTCTAATCTTAGTTATGTTATAAATTGTATCTCATGTATGTTTAAAATTTTTAATTTTCAATAAATATTAAGTTTTCTAAAGTTAAAATTTTTAATTTTAATTTAATTTTAAATAAAATATATTTTTTTCCTAAGAACCCTAAATTAAGAGCCTACCAATAAAGTCATCCCTAAACTAAAAACAAAAATACAACTCTTAACTCTTACTTTTTCAAATTTATTAATAAACAAATCTTAAAATCAAAATTTAAGAGACTACCATTAATCATGCTCTAACTACGTATAAGTCAATAAAGAATCAATAAATAGCATTATTATAGCTGAATAATATATAAATAAACATGTAAGTTGAAGTATTTAATTGGGGAAAAGTTATCAGGCGTAGAAAAAAATATACAAGAAAAAAAAAACAGTAACAAAAGACAAAAAAAAAAACAGAAGAAAAAAAGGTAAAGCAGATTCCTTGACCTATGTAGTCCAATGCTTATAAAAACTATTTATAACGGTTATAAATTATAATGCATTCGATTCATTACTGCTATAAGTTCAAATAATACTGTATTATATAATAAACTAGCAGTTGACCCGCGCGTAGGAGGTTTATAATTTTTTTTTAACTTTTTATTCATATTGTGATATTTTATTTATTTTTAATTGATTTTCAAAACATATTATAGTTACTTTCTCTTGAATTATTATCTTTCAATATTTAAATTTGGATTAAAAACATTTTCTTATTGATCATGTTATAAACTAATATTTCACTTTCATTTTTATTTTTTCCCTTTAAAATTTTATATATACAATTACATAAATGTTGTTTTTATTCTGCCATAAATTTAAAATGATAATTTTTGAGAAATACCCTTTTTGGTGTACCCCTTTTTAAAAATACCCCTCTTTTCTATCCATTTTCAAAAATACCCCTTTTCAAATATGAAAATTTATAAACTTTTATATGGTTAATAAGGTATCTTTACTATTGGGTGATTAAATCCAACTATTTATAAGGTTTAAAAGGTTCTAAACGGCATTTATAAGGTTTTATAAGGTTTTTATAAGATTTTTAAAAGGTTTACAAAGTTTTTATAAGGTTTTTAAATGATTTAAAATGTTTTAAAATGTATTTATGAAATATAAATTTATAAATTTACACATATATAAAGATAATTTGTGTCTATAAATATAAGCTTACACATATTTTTTTGATAAATTTCAAATTTATAGTTACTTATTGATAAAATTAGAAAGAATAGTATTTTTAAAAAGTGTTACTGGAAAAGGGGTATTTTTGAAATTTCCCTATTTAAAATTTACTTACATTTTTAAACTCAGTAACACATTTAAAATTTTAAACTATCATCAATTTAAAATGAAAGTTGAATTATATTAATACCACTAACTAATAAAAAATGAAAGTATTTCTTATTTAACATTTCATTTATTTACATAATTTATTTTAATTTATATAAATTTTCTATTAATTAAATAAGTAGCATAAATATGCACTAAATGAAATGTTTTAAATTTATTTTAATATAAAAAATGTGGCTTAGGTGGATGCTTAGGTGGCATCATGAGAAGAGAGAAAAAGCTAACTTTATATATATAGATAAATCTCTAACCTTTTAAACAAACAAAAAAAATCAAAACATAAGAACAGACAGATAAATAGAATTTGAGTATTGAATAAGATTCTTAAAATTTCTATAGTAGATTATATATATGTTCTTATCAAAAAAAAAAAAAACTTATATAGAACAGTATTATAAATTTAAAAT